ACAACCCCAAGAACACCATCCCAACCGTGAAGCATGGAGATGGAAACTTTGGGGATGCTTTTCTGCAAAGGGGACAGGACGACTGCACCGTATTGAGGGGAGGATGGATGGGGCCATGTATCGCGAGATCTTGGCCAACAACCTCCTTCCCTCAGTAAGAGCATTGAAGATGGGTCATGGCTGGGTCTTCCAGCATGACAACGACCCGAAACACACAGCCAGGGCAACTAAGGAGTGGCTCCGTAAGAGGCATCTCAAGGTCCTGGAGTGGCCTAGCCAGTCTACAGACCTGAACCCAATAGAACATCTTTGGAGGGAGCTGAAAGTCCATATTGCCCAGCGACAGCCCCGAAACCTGAAGGATCTGGAGAAGGTCTGTATGGAGGAGTGGGCCAAAATCCCTGCTGCAGTGTGTGCAAACCTGGTCAAGACCTACAGGAAACGTATGATCTCTGTAATTGCAAACAAAGGTTTCTGTACCAAATATTAAGTTCTGCTTTTCTGATGTATCAAATACTTATGTCATGCAATAAAATGCAAATTAATTACTTAAAAATCATACAATGTGATTTTCTGGATTTTTGTTTTAGATTCCGTCTCTCACAGTTGAAATGTACCTATGATAAAAATTACAGACCTCTACATGCTTTGTAAGTAGGAAAACCTGCAAAATCGGCAGTGTATCAAATACTTGTTCTCCCCACTGTAGTTTGTTCTTCTTCATTGTAGCAGAACACATGTCCTTGAGCGGTTTAACAAAGAGGCTGTGTGTGTGAGTCACAAGCCTGTCTCAGCCTACCCCTAACGGTTCCTCACATTAATCACAGCTTGTTATGTTAAACAATCTATATCAGTACAGCACAAACCTATTATGTTTAATCATTAATGTATTCTTTCTAAGCTAGGCATCACATCTAGTTGTAAGAAAATAGATTCCCACACCAAGAAAGCAAAGGTAACTGAACTAAATGACTATCACCCTGTAGCACTCACATCTGTCATCATGAAGTGCTTTGAGAGACTAGTCAAGGATCATATCACCTCTACCTTACCTGTCACCCTTGACCCACTTCAATTTGCTTACCGCCCCAATAAATCCACAGACGATGCAAGCGACATCACACTGCACTCTGCCCTATCCCATCTGGACAAGAGGAATACCTATGTAAGAATGCTGTTCATTGACTATAGCTCAGCATTCAACACCATAGTACCCTCCAAGCTCATCATTAAGCTCGAGGCCCTGGGTCTGAACCCCGCCCTGTGCAACTGGGTCCTGGACTTCCTGATGGGCCGCCCCCAGGTGGTGAAGGTAGGAAACAACATCTTCACTTCACTGATCCTCAACACTGGGGCCCCACAAGGGTGCGTGCTCAGCCCCCTCCTGTACTCCCTGTTCACCCATGACTGCGTGGCCAAGCACGCCTCCAACTCAATCATCAAGTTTGCAGACAACACAACAATTGTAGTCTTGATTACCAACAATGACAAGACACCCTACAGGGAGGAGGTGAGGGCTCTGTGAGTGTGGTGCCAGGAAAATAACCTCTCACTCAACATCAACAAAACAAAGGAGATGATCATGGACCGCAGTGGAGAAGGTGGAAAGCTTCAAGTTCCTTGGCGTACACATCACTGACAAACTGAAATGGTTCACCCATGCAGACAGTGTGGTGAAGAAGGCGCAACAGAGCCTCATCAACCTCAGGAGGCTGAAGAAATTTGGCTTGGCACCTAAAACCCTCACAAACTTTTACAGATGCACAATTGAGAGCATCCTGTCACGCTGTATCACCGCCTGGTACGGCAACTGCACCGCCCGCAACCGCAGGGCTCTCCAGAGGGTGGTGCGGTCTGCCGAACGCATTACCGGGGGCAAACTACCCGCCCTCCAGGACACCTACAGCACCCGATGTCACAGGAAGGCCAAAAAGATCATCAAGGACATCAACCACCCGAGCCACTGTCTATTCACCCCGCTATCATCCAGTACAGGTGCATCAAAGCTGGGACTGAGAGAATGAAAAACAGCTTCTATCTCAAGGCCATCAGACTGTTAAATAGCCATCACTAGCACATTAGAGGCTGCTGCTGCCTATTGAAATCTCTGGCCACTTTAAGAAATGGAACAGTAGTCACTTTAATAATGTTTACATATCTTGCACTACTCATCTCATATGTATATACTGTATTCTATAATATTCTACTGTATCTTAGTCCATGCTGCTCTGTCATTGCTTATCCATATGTATATATTCTTAAATTCCATTCCTTACTTAAATGTGTGTGTATTGGGTATATGTTGTGAAATTGTTAGATATTACTTGTTAGATATTACTGCACTGTCGGAGCTAGAAGCACAAGCATTTCGCTACACCCGCAATAACATCTGCTAAACACGTGTATGTGACATAACATTTTATTTTATTTATTGATTTCCTGTCAGTCAAAGGACTAAAGGAAGTAGGAGAAAAAATATAGTAAATGAGGGATACAAAGTATATTCCCTTACAAAAAAAGACTGTGGCATTTTGGAGGCAGTAATTGCAGTGTACTGAAGTTATTCTGCACTCTGACTGCAATCTTTTTTCGTAAGGGTTGAAAGCAGATGCTTCCACACAGGTGTGGTTTCTGAATTAGTTAAGCAATTAACATCCCATCATCATGCCTAGGGTCATGTATAAAAATGCTTGGCATTAATTTGGCAATTTTTTGGCTACCATGGCTATGCCCCCATATGATTACAATGCCCCCATCCACAGGGCACAAGCGGTCGCTGAATGGTTTGATGAGCATGAAAACGACGTTAACCATATGCCATGGCTGTCTCAGTCACCAGATCTTAACCCAATTGAACACTTACGGGAGATTCTGGAGCCCCTCCTGAGACAGCGTTTTCCATGACCATCAACAAAACACCAATTTATGGAATTTCTCGTGGAAGAATGCTGTCGTATCCCTCCAATTGAGTTCCAGACACTTGTAGAATCTATGCTGGCCCAACGCTCTATTAAGACACTTTATGTTGGTGTTTCCTATATTTTGACAGTTATAGTACCTGTAGTATTTCTGAATGTCTTAACTTTTTAACTCACCACCACTGAGCTGTACCTTTTCAGTCATTTTCTTCTTCACTTCAAACAGAAAGTAACGAAGTCTGTTTTTACATCAATGGCGAATGAATAGTTCCTCACTGTATTTGAAAAATCTTTCCAGCACTCTCCCCTTCGATAACCACCGAGCCTCAAGATGAAAGTAGAAAATGTAATGCTCTGAAACGATATATCCTGCGGATACATAATAAAATACCTGAACACTTCTTATCCCTTGCACAAATAAATCTGTATGTCTGGAGCTCACCGGCTCGGGAATCTCTGAGGGCCCAGAATAGTTTATACAATTTTTTTGCTAGCAAGAGCTGAAGACAGACAGGCTAGAATAAAGGCAGACAGGCAGAGTAGAGAGAGGTACATGCAATTGAAAGAAACTGAACCAACTGCCATGCGGCGTAGCCAATGTGATTTATAAAGGATATTTATTTTCATCAGGATATTTTCTGTTTGCTGAAAATGCGCATATGAAAATCATAGGTCCTAACTGGCATGCAGATCGGTAGAAATGGTAATATAAATTGTAAATTGACACTCCATGTGAAATAAGTTGCTGACCACTGTTTTAGGCTTTAATTCATTCATTTTTCTGTAAAATAGGCCTACTATACCAGGAGCGGATTGGCCATCTGGCTGGACCATTCATGGGCTGGACCATTTTTTTTGGTTGGATGGGCTGGTCGAAATATTGTTTTAATAATCAAATAAAACAATGAGAAAGGTTACATGGCCTGCAGCCCATGGGCCTTTTTGGAAATATGTTTTGTTTGTTATATACATACACTACGGGTCAAAAGTTTTAGAACACCTACTCATTCAAGGGTTTTTCTTTATTTTTACTATTTTCTACATTGTAGAATAATAGTGAAGACATCAAAACTAACACATATGGAATCATGTAGTAACCAAAAAAGTGTTAAACAAATCAAAATATTTTATATTTGAGATTCTTCAAATAGCCACCCTTTGCCTTGATGACAGCTTTGCACACTCTTTATACTTTAAATAGGCTAAATATCGTACATAAGTGTTATAGCTAAACAAAACACAGTCATGCATAATTTCATTCAACCATGTATTTTATTTGGATGGGCAAGGAGGTACGGTAGGGCGGGCACTGTCCCCTAAGGTCTGCCCACAACGCCAGTCCTGACACACACACGAACACACACACACACATTCTTTAGAGATCAACACTGAGGTCAGTAGTGTGATTTAGTCCAATAGGAACTCCGGTCATAGATTGTGGCCCTCTGAGAGACTCCTATTACCACTCTGTGTCATTGGATGGAGTATGGATCCAATAGACTCTATGTCTGGACAGGTAATTCTGAGAATGTGCTATGTAGGCTGGTGTAGGTATGTAGGGTAGGTTATAGGATCAGGGAGGGAGCTTTTGATCTCTCCCTTTAATTATGTTTCTCAAAGCCAATCTGTCTGAAACATTGGAGGATAGAGGTTCTGTGCAGTGGTTAGTTAGAGAAATGGGCTTAAGTTGGAATAAAACTGCCAGTCGAATAACGAATACCAATGTAATTCACGTAAAGTAGAAAAATATGGGCATGTGGTAGATTCTTTTATCCAAAGTGACTGACGCGTAGTAACAACAAAGACATTTGGTATGTGTGTCCCACGTGGGAATCAAACCCACAACTGATATTGCAAGTGCAAAGCTCCAATCTATTGAGCCATCAACCAATCACATTCCTTTCTGCCCTTGAGGCAGAACAAGATGTAAAACTCCAATCTGCATTGAGGTGAGATAGTTGAGAATTGTACATAGATCTACTTTATGTGTTGTATGTACAAGGTACAGAGTTGTAGAGCTTTGTGTGTCAAATCACGAGTTATAACTCTTGATGTTATTTGTCTCTCTTGTTACTTTTTCAGACTCTTCCAGACTCTCTCGGTCCAGAGGAGCATGATGATGACTTTCCCCAACGAGACCGATGAGATGAGCTTCTCCTTCTCCTCCCTCTCTCTATCAAACCCACCCTCCCCCTCTTCCTCCCTCTCCTTCTCTCCCACACCGTCCCTCTCCATCTCCCTCACCTCCAACCCTTCCTCCTCCTTCGCCTTCTCCCTCTCCACCTCCTCCTTCTCTCCGTCCAACTGCTCCAGCTCTCCATCGCCCTCCTCCCCTCCCTATAACTTCTACGCCGTGCTGCTGGTGCTGCTTATCTTCTGTGTGGTGTTTGGCAACGTGCTAGTTTGCGTGGCGGTGTCGCGTGAGCGTTGTCGAGACGTGACGGTGGTGAGGGTATTGTTGGATGCTGGTGTGTGTGGAGGTGACTGTGTGGGCAGTGGTGCATGCGTGTGGTGGTTGGACGTGGAGGGGGTGGGGTGAGTTGTGTGTGGATCGTGTGTGTGTGTGTGGAGAGGTGGACGGTGGTGAGGGTGAGTTGTGTGTGGAGATGGCGGTGTGTGTGTGTGGAGAGGTGGACGGTGGTGAGGGTGAGTTGTGTGTGGAGATGGCGTGTGTGTGTGTTGTGGAGAGGTGGACGGTGGTGAGGGTGAGTTGTGTGTGGAGATGGCGGTGTGTGTGTGTGTGGAGAGGTGGTCGGTTGGTGAGGGTGAGTTGTGTGTGGAGATGGCGTGTGTGGGATGTGGTGTGTGGTGGTGTGGACGATGGCGATGGGTGGTGTGTGTGGAGATGGCGGTTTGTGTGGAGAGGTGGTCTGTGGTGAGGGTGAGTTGTGTGTGGAGATGGCGGTGTGTGTGTGCGGGGTGTGTGTGTGGTGAGGGTGGTTGTGTGTGGAGATGGCGGTGTGTGTGTGTGTGTGTGGAGATGGCGGTGGGTGTTTGTGGGTTTGTGTGTGTTTCTATCCATCTGGCAGCCAGTGTTTTTTGTCTCTCTTTAATTTGTCTGTCTCGCTCCCTATCTTTACCTCCTAGTCTCTCTACACTAGGTCATTCGAAGGTGTTTCAAAAACCCCCCTCAGATAATGTCAAGGTAGCATGATAAATAACAGAAGCTACAGTTGGTTCCAATCAACAGTTTCTTGTTGATCTGAATCTGACTTTGTTCTCCTTTCTTCCAGTCTATAATGCATAAGCATGGCTACATCCCAAATGGCACCCATATTCCCTATGTAGTGCACTACTTTTGACCAGGGCCATGTATTTCAAACCACTGCTGTTCCGGAGCACATGTAATTACCACTCACGCGTGTGTTTTGTTCATACTGTATGTGTCCCTTTCCTAGGTGGTAGGGGAGTGGCGCTTCAGTCTCATCCACTGTGACATTCTCCTGACCCTGGACGTCATGATGTGTACTGCCAGCATCCTCAACCTCTGTGCCATCAGCATCGACAGGTACTCACACTCTTTCTATCTATCTATCTATCTATCTATCTATCTATCTATCTATCTATCTATCTATCTATCTAGAGTATATATCTAACTACAGTATCTATCTATCTACAGTATCTATCTCTCTCTTTGTCTATCTGTCTGTCTCGCTCTTTCTCACTCTACTCCCATCACTCTCTTCTCACACTCTCTCCAAAATCTGGATTGATTTCATAGTGCCCTTGCAGCAAAAACATTTCCTGATGGGAAATGTATTTTTTATGGTTTGTTATTGTTGTTTTCCCATAAAGAAAACAATTTCCCATCAGGAAAAGATTTCCTATCTTTTCGGGTACCCTCCTCCCTTCGCAAGTATCATTATCTTCTTCTTAACATAAGCTTATTTTGTCCAACCAAATCCATCACCTTTTAAAACCAGTGAAAGACATTGACAATTTCAGCAGCCTCAATACTTGTAGCCTTGTTTGTCCTTTTGTAGACTGAATCCCTCTAAATGTGAAGCCATGTCTCAGGGCTTAGTGTGGTTACTGTTCTTTGTTCGTGTCTGTCCCTGACCACCAGCCCTGTGGAGGGATGACAGTCTCCTCTCCTCACACCAGGTTTTCTATGGAGGACTCTTAGATTGGTTTGTCACGCTGCTGCACTGTGAAACTGACTTGGACAGCTTTTGTTTGTGTTTGCCTGGTGAATGAGAGGAACTGACAATGCAATTAAACTGTGTGTGGGCGGTGGTGGCCAAGGTGTTCATGTGCGTGTATGTAGGTGTTAGCTTTAAATACAGCATTTGTGTGTGTGTTTGTGTGCAGGTACACGGCGGTGGCAATGCCCATGCTGTATAACACCAGATACAGCTCCAGGAGGAGGGTGGCTCTGATGATTGCTGTCGTGTGGTTCCTCTCCTTCGCCATCTCCTGCCCTCTGCTGTTTGGACTCAACAACACAGGTATGCCTGTCTCTCAGTCTCTGCCTCTGTGTCTGTCTCTGTGTATGTATCTGTCTCTCAGTTTCGATCTCTGTCTGTTTCTGTCTCTCTCTCCTTTTCTCTGTCTCTCGCTGTCTCTTTATCCGAATCACGTTCTGCGCTTGTTATTTTACACACACATTCACATTTCTCTCTTTACTCACCCTCAATCAATTTGATCGATATGATGATGTAGCCTATGTCTCTGCCTCATATTTCTGAACAGCTTCAATTTGAACGAACGTTCCCAAAAAATATATAAAGGCAGCAACCTTCTCTGTCTGTTGTAACGGATATTGCCGTAGCGCAAGCAAGACGCAGTCTACACATTGCATTGGGGCAAAACAATTAGCGTTTTGTGTGATGGTGTAATCTTTATAGTTATGCTGCCATATAGCCAGCAGTCTGCCTCCTGTTTAGCCAATGTTTCCAATGATGTTGAAAAAAGAACATTAAATCGCTATTGACTGCCTGTCTGTCTTGTTTGTTTGATATACTGTGTAGGCTACATATAGCTTGCCTAAATAGCTGCACGTAATTCCCCTCCTGAAAAAAATAACATGAAATTGCTAGACAACCTCCTTGTGTAGTGCTTACGTTTGCAATAGCCTACGGTTACAACAGACAAAGAACTACGTTTGTTTGAACTGTTTTGTGTACAAGCGGCAGCGAAGTCACGGGGTGACTGAGCACGGAGCAGCAGCTGAAAGGAGGTAGGCTAGTGGATCCCGCATGCACACAAATCTCCGTATTTTTAGCAACAGCAAGTCGGGTTCCAGAAGATCCGGAACCGCAGCCACTCCGATTAATCTATTAAATCACAAGTGCGCTAGTGTCATTTACTCATTCAATCTAGGAGAGACATAAACATGACATGGGAAGCCACACGTGCAGAAACACACACTCTTTTTGTAATTAGCTATGTAAAATAACCCTTGCAATCTTCCAGTCCATCTGTCTTAAGCCTGGAAGAAGATTGCAGCCCTACTGGATATCTTAGTATCACCAGTTGGTGAGAGACAGAATGAATAATCAGTTAGATAGGCCTACATCTGTTTAATCATGACGCCCAGCTATGCAGTAACTGCAATCACTAAGAACGCACGCACTACCACTTACTAACAGCTTTCAGGTCTGTTTGCTTTAATCAGTCAATGGTTTCAATGAAAGAGCGGCTCATTGATTTGCCTGTCGGTCCACAACCACAATACAGAATGTTTACCAATGATGCAGGTGTCATTTTAAGTCAGAGGACGTGAGCATCAGCACGTTTCGCTTAAGACGGTATTTTGATTTTTAAAAATCTTGTTGGAGCGGGAGCTCGTGCGAAAAAACGCAAACTGAGGTTTGGAACATAAGCTCCTACTTTGAGGACGGGGCTGAAGAGAGTACTGCTTTCGTGTGCAAAGGCTGCACAGCTTGATGCAACTGAATGGCAACAACCACTCGAGCTGGAGTGGCCAACACTAAAAGCCAATTTATGCTTGATCCGAAAATGTGGTCGGAGGGTGTGAGGCACGCAGAGGCCAAATCATGGCTGTGTGGCCTCTCAAATGTTGGAACAATGCGGAGGGCTTTGTATAGCTCCGCATTGACATGATTGGTTGACGGTAGGTGAGGGCGGGAGGTCCTGTATAAACACACAAACAGTTCCTTGAGAACTTCCTTCGCAACAGCTCTGTGCTGCTTGGCAAAGCGCAAGAAGTATAAATGCCCTGATTTGTGCGGAGGCCATATCGCAGTAAATGCTCTACGGCCACTGCAGATGTCAGATTGAGCCTTTAATCTGCCAGTTAACATTCAGTAACCTTCGAGAGCGCCTTTGAATGCACTGCTGGGAAAACAAGATGATTGGCATTCAGGGTCACCATGTGTCCTATAGAAAGGCTATGTTTATTTTGTATATGGGGAGGCTTGAGTTTATTGGATTGGACCTCCCACCTAAACATCCAATTCAACAGAAAGGCAGTATTTAAAGCACCTTCTTACAGTGTACAGAATATAGTAATTTGCTAGCAGCTGTATACTGTTGAAATTATTAATCTAGATTGTAGTTTGTTATGCGATAGGCCGTGGCCTGGTCTTATAAGAAGCAGATTTGATATGCCTTTCAGATTTGATATGCCTTTCAGATGTTGCATCCAGCCTGAATATGGAGAGAACAAGCCAATGCCTGATGCTCATGTACCTGTCTTCCCTGGAGCTAAACCAGGCTTTTACTTGGTTGCCACACCATTACGGAGTGGACTCTGACATATTTAACAGCTTTGACATCTTTAACAGCGTTGACATCTTTGGCTATCTGACAAGAACTGTAGAGAAAAACGTCTCTCTTGCTTTAACATTCACCTCCTCCCACCTGTCCCCACTCCCAAACAACATGGCTGTATTTCTATCCACCTCTTCTCATCCCCTTCACTCCATCAGCCAGTCGGGAGGAGACCAAGTGTGACTTCGCTGATCCGTCCTTCGTGGTCTACTCATCCGTGGCCTCCTTCTACGTTCCTTTCATCGTGACCCTGCTGGTGTACGTCCAGATCTGTGTGGTGCTGCGGAGGCGGGGCAGACGCACCGTGCCCCGCAGACACGGCCTGCACCCACAGGGAGGAGGCAAGACGGGGGAGGGCCACAGGCACAGGAAGGTTCATGATTAGTCAATCAATCTATCAATCAACTAATCAGCCAGTCATCAATCAATCAACCCCATAAAACAGCCAACCAATAAATCAGAGGCAGGATGAGGAAGTCAAAAAAGCTTGATTTTAGAAGCCAGTAGGTCCAAAAGCAAGCATCTTTGACTTTCTATCCCTCATTCTTTTCTCTCCCTTCATCCTCCACTTGTATCACCTCTCAGAATAAGTGTACCCACCCCGAGGATGTGAAGCTGTGCACTCTGATCATGAGGCCCCCCACCAATGCCCCTCAATGCAAGAAAGTGGTAAGTCGCTGGAACACTGTGAGTCACTGTACAGGGGAACCACTGTGACCATAAAGTTGGATTACGAAATCTCCTATAATATGAGCCTTAGATTTGAACTACAGTACATATCTCTCCATCTCTCGCTGTTTCTCTGTCTGTTATTTGTCTCTCCCTTCCCATCTTTTCTGTCTGTCTGTCTGTCTGTCTCTCTCTCTCTCTCTCTTTCTCTCTCTCTCTCTCTCACTTATTTTTTCTCTCTCGATCTCTCTCCTTTTTCTCTCTCTCTCCCCCTGCCCTATTAGACGTTAGTGAAGGAGGCGGTAGTGCACCCCCTGGAGGAGGAGCCTGTGGGGCGTGGTTTCCTGTCCCAGTTAGACCAGAGCCTCCCCGCGCCTCACCCACCTCCCCCTTCCGGACGAGCCACCAAGATCTCCCTTTCTATCTCGGTGGCGCCTGCACCCATCCGGGCCCTGTCCCCGTCGGTGGCACCACGCTCTGCCCTCGTACCCCGCTGTGCCACCTTCGAGGATGGCATGAGTGGCCGCGAGCGATGGAGGGAGCGCAATGCAGACAGGGAGAAGGGAGCGATGGTGAAGGAGATGGTGAAAGGAACTCTGTCGCAGCAGAAGGAGAGGAAGGCGACGCAGATGCTGGCTATCGTGCTAGGTGAGAGAAACAGGAGGAGACAATGAGGGTGGCTGAACAGAGAGTGTTTCAGCCAGTCCCAATTCACTCCCTACCCCTTCCCCTTGGCCCCTCAATGTTTGAAGATCTGAAGGGTCTGGATAAGCAGTGTAGTGGTGGAGTTTGCACCACATTGCTTCCACCATATAGATCTGTCACTATCTTTAGGGAAGGGGCAGAGAGTGAATTGAGACTGGCTCACACCCTTTCATTCTCCTCCCTCCTCCATCAGGTGTGTTCATTATCTGCTGGCTGCCCTTCTTCCTAACCCACGTGCTGAAGGCCCACTGTGGCAGCTGCTGTATCTCGCCCTCCCTGTACAGTGCTGTCACCTGGCTGGGCTACCTCAACAGTGCCGTCAACCCCGTCATCTACACCACCTTCAACATCGAGTTCCGCAAGGCCTTCATCAAGATCCTAAACTGCTGAGTACAGGGAAGGGGAGGGGGGAGGAATGACAAGTTTGAAAAGTGTTTTAGTTGAGAGAGGCAAAAAAAGGTCAGAGACTAGAAATAAAAGTAAAGAAGGGAAAGAGAGGGGTGAAAACAAAGACAAGAAGGGGAGGGAGGGAGAGAGGGGAAGAGGGACACAGGGAGAAAGGCGACAGAGAAGATAATAAAGAGAATCTAAGAGGTCAAACAGAAGAGCAAGTGGAACAAGACAGAAATACCAAATCAAAAACAGCCTTGAGAATTCTAAAGAGATTATGTAGACTTCTGTGAATATAAAACATAGCAGGGAGAGAGAAATATTCTAAAGGTTCTATGGGAAGAGATGAGTCTCATGGGGTAGGGCACAAACAGTGGCAAAAGACAGGCTACAGTGGCAGAAGACAGGCTACAGTGGCAGAAGACAGGCTACAGTGGCAGAAGACAGGCTACAGTGGCAGAAGACTGTCCCACTCCGTGTGAGGATGACAAAGTAAGTGGTGGGCCTCCTGTAGCTCAGTTGGTAGAGCATGGCGCTTGCAACGCCAGGGTTGTGGGTTCGTTTCCCATGGGGGGCCAGTATGGAAAATGTATGCACTCACTCACTGTAAGTCGCTCTGGATAAGAGTGTCTGCTAAATGACTAAAATGTAAGTGTATTGCTCTCTGATACCGCTCTGAAATATACTGTCAAAGGGTCTGCAGACATTGTCCTGTTTTTACTCAGATACAGTTATTTACAGTTTGTAAATTACGTTAATTAAATTACAGAGGTAATCTTTTAAGGAGATACACAATCAATCTGCACCATCAAGCATGATTTTTCTCCAATAGCAGTCTTGTTGTGTCGTCCCAATGTAAACAAGCCTATAAGAGATGTATTATATTATGAACATGATGATGTTGGTGAAGATATGATGCCATAATAACATGGATGATATGATGCAATATGATGAGCGACTAATCAAGGTTTGTTCATAGAGTATATGTATATATTATTGCTTAGAGTTTGTTCATGTGAGCTCTGCTGTAAATAGCTGTATTACTATTATCGTACAGATAAATGTAATAAATTATATTCTACTCATGTTGTTGCTAGTCTATTTCAAGTTTGCTGTACTGCAGGGTTGGGGCCAATTCGAATTGAAGTCAGTCAATTCTGGAAGTAAAGATATTTTCCAATTGAATAATACTGTAGAAAAAAGTGCTATTTTCAATGACGGCTTAATCAGCTGAGAAGGAGAAGCTATTTCAAAAGTCTTCCCGTTTTGGGATTTTAAATTCAAATCACTTCCTGAATTGACTGACTTCAATTCAAATTGACCCCAACCCTGATGTACTGTACTGGTCAAACAATAGACAGAAATTGATTAATTGACTAATTTGTTTTCAAAACTGTTTAAATACATTTGCTCTCTACATTGATCTTTGGCTCTTCTCTCTCCGCTTCTTTAACCCCTCTGGTGGTGAAGCAGTGTGGCTGCTCCCCATGCTTGTCTGCCAACACCTAACACCTAACTGTCTGCTGCAGTAACGTGAGAGGCCAAACAAATGCTGCTGATGTGAAACCGAACACACACACACACACACACACACACACACACACACACACACACAGGGTAAGTCATGGTTAGGTCACTATGACCGTGCGCTTGTGCGTGCCCCCCATTGATAACTGTCCCGTCGATAAACATACACAAACTGTCCCACACACCATTCTGTGTTATTGTCATACTGTATGCAAACCAACCTAGTAGAATATTTAAAATGAGAAGCCCTTCAAATACGAATTGATTTATTTTATATTTAAAACATAAGTATGTTTGTTTTCATTCAGTATACTGTGTATGTGTCTGTGCACCTGTGTAACTGAGTACCTGTGAGTGTGAATGACTTGGAGGTACAGTATTCATTACCCTCTGTTGTTAAACTCTGACCCTGGCTCACAATATTCCATATGCATATTTCATGATCTCCGATGACAAGAGCACACATATATGTTACAGCCCAACTTTGTCCTGTCCTGATCGCACCTACCTACCCCCCTTCAGAGGAGAAGAGAAAGAACAAGGAGAGGTAAAATAGTGGAACTCATGAGAGGAGAAAGAGAGGGATGATGGGGGAGGGGGGGAGATAATGAAAAGATTAGGAAAGGAACTAGGTTGGGTACGGAAGGAGGAGTGCAGGTAGAAGAAGAGTTAAAAGAGGAGTCATCTGGTGAAAATAAACTGAAAAAGACCAAGGCTTGGATTGAAGATGCATTTGACAGAATTGTTGCCACTTTCGCAAGGATGTTTTTATTGTGACATTGGAATTCCAACTTTGAGTGAAGGAATAATAGATTCAGTTGAATAATCCCTGATGAAGTAGACACACAGCTCTCTATGGCTTACATTCAGGTAAGATCAATTTAGTATCTATCTACACTTGTTTTCTTAACAAAATGTCCTTGCCTGATCTACAATGGGTGGTATTCGATTGATTTCCCAGCAAGCTTCTCATTTTTATTCAAATTCCTTATAGCTCTATTTTAGCAATTATTACTTTTATAATTTTTTCTCTAACTCTCATGCACACAATTCTGTCGATTCAGAATCGACAGCACAAAACTTGTGGAGGACTTAATGTGTATACAGATATGTTAATAAATCCTGTGTGTGCTTGTTTGTTAGAACAGAGATTGTATGAAGATGTAAACATTCACACTTAAAACACATTGTACAGGTTCTTAAAAGCTTTTCTATATCTCTGCTAAAGGGCACCTGTGGTCCCTCGGGTACCAGTTCATCTGGGATAGGCCCAGAGCTCCCCTCTCTGGTCTGCTCTCCTGCCCAGCCTCAGACCCTCTCTGCTGGATCCCAACCAGGGCAGACTCCCCCTGGTCAGATCCATCCTCCACCACCTGTCACACGCCTCCAACCCCTACAGCATCGGTCTACTATCACTCCCCTCGCTCAAACACTCCTCACACCACCCCCTCAGAACCTCCTAGACCCAGACCTCACAAGTATAGATATGAAGGCCTCCATTTTCCTTCCACGTGCACAACGTCCACGCAATGAACCCCTCACCCCATCCCTCAGAACCTGCCCCTCGGTTTCCCTCCAAGTTGCCACTGGGGGTGTACCAGTGGGGGTATTCCAGTTATCATCCTCTACACTATTTGCACTCATGGGAATTCCTACTTACCACTTGGGAATGGGCATACCACCACCACCACCCATTGCCCATCAGACAGACTCAACCCCAACACCTCTCCCCTCTGAGGTGAATCTAAAGGCCCAACAGCCCCGAACAGAAGCACGATTTGATCCCCTTACGTCCTCCTCTGAGGTACCCATGGAGGCCCAACCCCCAAAGGCAGTCCCCTCGCCCCCCCAACCCCCTGACATGGCCTGCTCAGAGGGCCCAAATTCAGAGACCTCCTTGCCCCTCCCTCCCTGTGATGGCCCTTTGGAGGTTCCACAGAGGAAGACATCTAAAGTGGATGAAGGATCTGTTGGGTTAACACTCCCCAAAGACTGCCCTGATGAAGAGCCAGGTAGGCTACTGTACAATATTGGAGAGAGAGACTTGAATACAGGGGTGTATTCATTACGGAAATGGTTTACTGTTTAAGAACCAAACGGAAGCAAACAGAGCAAAACAAGAGTTTCTATTGGACAAATTCAGGTAGGTCCCTCCCCGTTTTGTTCCGTTTGCTTCCATTTAATAAACATTTTGCAATGTTTTGCAACAGAATTGGAGTAATGAATATGCCCCAAGTCTTACTGGGCTTTTGGTTGATTAGATTGTGTTCATGTCAAGTTGTGATTTATCTATGCTTTGCTTCCATAGGCACTACCATTCCTGTAGTTTTTTCACTCAGTGACACTAATGCTAGCTGTAGCAGTGGCTCTAGTTAAGAAAACAACCCAAATGGAGGGCTGCTGACTGTGCTGGCACCTAAACAACTTTCACTGTAACTAGAATAATATATCTTTTTTTATGTAGGTGAATGTACCCTTTATGTGTCTGTCCTTGAGCACCACAGTCCTCCTGGCTGTACCATTAACCTTTCCGTGGTTGTATAATACACATTGTTGATTGCATAAATGTTCAAACCTATTCCTGGGCAGACATGTCAACCACACAGGGCCAGATATTATACGTCTCGAAACTTGATAATGTACATTTCTATGAAGGTTATACACGTACTTGTTAAAAGCACTTGAATGTTCAAGGTATCTGTAGAACGCAGCAGTTTATTCAAAACAATTGATATTTTATTCTGTTCCCCTCTTACTGTAGATCTTGAGCCCCCGCGGTGCACGTGCCCCTCACGTCTCACACTGCTGGCGACCTTCATCGCCGTCTTCATCATTCTTTTCATCTGCTTCGCCATTTTAGGTAACCTCACTGACAGTAGCGTGCTTAGCATTGTAGACCCGGGCTGTGTCTGAAAACGTTCCTAGCCTTTTTCACTCAACTCCTCTCAAAGCTCATTGGGGGAGGAGGTCCCTTGCATCCTCTCCTCCAATACGCTTTGAGGAAGCAAAGACAGAGGAAGCAAGGATTGTATGGCTAGTAACATTTTCAGACACAGCCCTGGTTACAATGTCATATCTTATTACATTTACAGTCATTTAGCAGACACTCTTATCCAGAGTGACTTACAGGTGCAATTAAGGTTACAGATTTTACAGGCACCATGAGGGCACATTGACATATTTTTCACCTAGTCAGCTCAGGGATTCAAATCAGCAACCTTTCAGTTACTGGTCCAGCGCTCTAAAACGCTATGCTACCTGCTGCCCAAGAAAAGACAAGACAAGATGCATTTGACAGTAAAAACAAAAATGTAAGCGTTCAACATTTTACCTCCTCGCTCACTCTCCTTTGATTCTTGTTTGTCTCCTCCTCAGTCAAGTTCCTGTGTTTCCCGTCCAACCTGACAGATATTGTGCAGCCATGTGGCATTAAAGGGAACTGCAGTGTCCCAATGCTAGTTCTGCTGCCCAAGCAACCCATCAACCAGACAGGAAACGTCAGTGTAGGTAATGCCATCCGATCCACTGATACATCAGAATTGTATAGGTCTTCTTGGTACATTCAAATGCACAAGCAATCTGTAGACAACTGACCAAATGACTGGCTACCACACAATGACAAGTAACTGATCCCACAAGTCATTATTGTACAAACTGAACAATGTCTTGCATAACCGAATAACGTGTTCAGGTAATGTCTGTGTTGACAGTGCATTTGTTGAAGCTCCCTCAGGTTGCCCAGGTCCAGTTGGTACTGGTCGGAAGGCTTGGAGGATTGTCGGGGGGATGTTGGCAGAGGACAAGTGGGGCTGGCAGAGCAGTTTACACTGGAGAGGGAAACATGTGTGCGGGGGAGCCATCATCACCCCACGATGGATCATTACTGCAGCCCACTGCTTCATCCAGTAAGGGGCAAGGAGAGCGAGAGAATAAATGCTTTATTTTTTTTTTACGGTATCCATATTCGGACAGCCTCAACAACTCCTTGTGACTCTGAGGCTGTCCTAATATGGAAACTGTAGTTATTACATTAGATAATATGTGCCTTCCATTTCCCTTCATTCTCCATACCCCAGGTACAACATGTTGCAGGAGTCAGAGTGGCAGGTGGTTGTGGACACGCTCAGTTTGACGGACACATCAGCGGGCCAACGCTACAGAGCACTACAGATCCTCTATCACCCAAGCTTCTCCATAAACAACAATGACTATGACCTGGGGCTATTGCGCACCGTGGCTGACATAAACATGGGAGGTGAGAGGAAGGAATGATGTTCAGGGGAGGTTATATGGCTATATGTATGGTTGCTCCTATTCTGATTTCACCTGTTCCTGTTTCGCATTTGTCATGTTCATGGTTTCTCTCAGGCATGAAATCTAACTGACAACTTAACACTATATCAACACAAAAAGTATCTCAGTTGGTAGAGCATGGTGTTTGCAACGCCAGGATGGCAGGTTAAATTTTTTATATTAAAAGTAGAATGTGAAAATACTACCTCACAGGACCGCTTTTGATTTAACCAGTGATTCATTGGAGCTTATCGTCAGTCAGTATAGTCAATGCGCTGCACGAAACAGAAGAAAACTGTCAGAAACTGAGTGGAATGGGGAGGTACTATTTGAACTTGTCTAATAAGAAACTCTTGTTTTCGTTTTTCATTGCAGGTGATGTCCTAATGAACATGACCCTGGTGTTGTGTTATGTGTTGTTTTAGGTAGGGTTCGACCAGTGTGTATGCCGAGTCCTAGAGAGTCCTTCCTTCCTGGTGCCCCCTGTTGGGTCACTGGCTGGGGCGACACTAAAGAGGGGGGTGGTGAGTCACATTCACAAATATTCCCACACCACTTTCTTATGATTTTCTCTTCAACTGATTGGATGATCACTCTAATTTATTCCGCCTTACTAGTCTTTATCCTCTCCACTTTTCCCATAATCACATCAAACTGCATGACATTTGTTGCAGAATGAAGACAATGTTCCCTTCCATCCCATAATCTCATTCAATAACCTGACAATTGTCTCTTCATTCTCTTCACATTATAACACTCCTTCTATTTGTATAATCTCTCCTTCTCCTCTCTCTATACCACTCCTATCTTCATCTGTCTTTACCCATCCTTTCTCTACTCCGCCTCTGTCTGTCGGTCTGTCTCTCTCTTTCGCCGTCTTTCTCTCTCTCAGGCTCTGTATCGTCTGAGCTGCGACAGGCTCAAGTCCAGGTGATAGCCCAGTCCACGTGTTCCCGCCCAAATGTCTACGGCTCCTACCTCACTCCCAGGATGCTTTGCGCTGGCACCATGGAGGGAGGGGTGGACTCATGCCAGGTACACACACACACACGCACACCAAGAACTGCAAAACAAAATACTCCAAATACTGAGGAATCTGTTTATTCCAATGGGAAAGAAAGGACTCTCTGTTACTCCAGATGTTAACGGCTATACTTAGCTGGCCTATGCTCTCCACATATCAAAATGGTTCCCTGTCGAGTAAGTAGGTCTACTTAGCTTGCACCAAATAGGCCTATACTGTATATGGAATTACACACATCTTACAAGAAAACTAACATCAACAGTGCATGCAGTGCACCAATATGCATAGACAAAATATAATATTGATTGATTGATTGATTCATGCATGTACACTGAGTGTACAAAACATTAGGAACACCTGCTCTTGCCATGACATAGACTGACCAGGTGAATCCAGATGAAAGCTATGATCCCTGTATTGATGTCACTTGTTAAATCGTCTTCAATCAGTGTATATGAAGGGGAGGAGACAGGTTAAAGAAGGATTTTTAAGCCTTGAGACAATTGAGACATTGATTGTGTATGTGTGACATTCAGAGGGTGAATGGGCAAGACAAAATATTGAATTGCCTTTGAACAGGGTATGGTAGTAGGTGCCAGGCACACCGGTTTGAGTGTGAAGAACTGCACCGCTGCTGGGTTTTTCACACTCAACAGTTTCCCCTGTGTATCAAGAATGGTCCACCACCCAAAGGACATCCAGCCAACTTGACACAACTGTGGGAAGCATTGAAGTCAACATGGGCCAGCATCCCTGTGGAACGATTTCGACACCTTGTAGAGTCCATGCCCCGACGAATTGAGGCTGTTCTGAGGGCAAAGGCAGGGGGTGTATGCATGCATGCATTAATTCATATGTGGTCTTCTCTGGTTGTAAGGGAGACAGTGGAGGCCCGCTGGTGTGTGAGACAGGGGAGGGGGACTGGAGGCTGGCTGGGATAGTGAGCTGGGGAGATGGCTGTGGTCGGCCCAACAAACCAGGAGTCTACACCAGGGTTACCCAGCTGCTCCCCTGGATCTACAAATACGTAGATGTACATACAGTAAGGGAAAAAAATATTTGATCCCCTGCTGATTTTGTAAGTTTGCCCACTGACAAAGACATGATCAGTCTATAACTTTAATGGTAGGTTTATTTGAACAGTGAGAGACAGAATAACAAAAAAAAATTCAGAAAATGTTATTAATTAATTTTGCATTTTAATGAGGGAAATAAGTACTTGACCCCTCTACAAAACATGACTTAGTACTTGGTGGCAAAACCCTTGTTGGCAATCACAGAGGTCAGACGTTTTTTGTAGTTTGCCACCAGGTTTGCACACATCTCAGGAGGGATTTTGTTCCACTCCTCTTTGCAGATCTTCTCCAAGTCATTAAGTTTTCGAGGCTGACGTTTGGCAACTCAAACCTTCAGCTCCCTCCACAGATTTTCTATGGGATTAAGGTCTGGAGACTGGCTAGGCCACTCCAGGACCTTAATGTGCTTCTTCTTTAGCCACTCCTTTGTTGACTTGGCCGTGTGTTTTGGGTCATTGTCATGCTGGAATACCCATCCACGACCCATTTTCAATGCCTTGGCTGAGGGAAGGTGGTTCTCACCCAAGATTTGACGGTACATGGCCCAGTCCATCGTCCCTTTGATGCGGTGAAGTTGTCCTGTCCCCTTAGCAGAAAAACACCCCCAAAGCATAATGTTTCCACCTCCATGTTTGACGGTGGGGATGGTGTTCTTGGGGTCATAGGCAGCATTCCTCTTCCTCCAAACACGGCAAGTTGAGTTGATGCCAAAGAGCTCGATTTTGGTCTCATCTGACCACAACACTTTCACCCAGTTCTCCTCTGAATCATTCAGATGTTCATTGGCAAACTTCAGACGGCCCTGTATATGTGCTTTCTTGAGCAGGGGGACCTTGCGGGCGCTGCAGGATTTCAGTCCTTCACGGCGTAGTGTGTTACCAATTGTTTTCTTGGTGACTATGGTCCCAGCTGCCTTGAGATCATTGACAAGATCCTCCAGTGTAGTTCTGGGCTGATTCTTCCGTTTGTGAATAATCGCACCAACTGTTGTCACCTTCTCACCAAGCTGCTTGGCGATGGTCTTGTATCCCATTCCATTCTTGTGTAGGACTACAATCTTGTCCCTGACATCCTTGGAGAGCTCTTTGGTCATGGCCATGGTGGAGAGTTTGGAATCTGATGGATTGATTGCTTCTGTGGACAGGTGTCTTTTATACAGGTAACAAGCTGAGATTAGGAGCACTCCCTTTAAGAGTGTGCTCCTAATCTCAGCTCGTTACCTGTATAAAAGACACCTGGGAGCCAGAAATCTTTCTGATTGAGAGGGGGTCAAATACTTATTTCCCTCATTAAAATGTAAATCAATTTATAACATTTTTGACATGTGTTTTTCTGGATTTTTTGTTGTTATTCTGTCTCTCACTGTTCAAATAAACCTACCATTAAAATTATAGACTGATAATTTCTTTGTCAGTGGGCAAACGTACAAAATCAGCAGGGGATCAAATACTTTTTTCCCTCACTGTAGCTACAGTAGATGTACCAATCACACAGAACTGGGTCAGTGTTTCTCTGAATGTGCAAATGCACCACTCCATGTCATGATTTTGACTCTTTTACAGATGGACACATTTGAAGAATCTGGAACCCCAACAACAGTTAATTATACCTCTGACAGCTAGATTTTATTAGCAGCAATATGACCACTTACATTTCTGCTAAATATTAAAGTATTATGCATTTTTGCTTGGCATTCCATTTTTGTATTACATTTAATTTTCCTGACAATAATTTTATTGAAAGCACATTCTCATTCAAACCATTATATATGGTTAATTACCCATACTAATGCATGGATTGTTGGATTAAACTGGGACTGGATTTGTTTCCTATCTGGAGTTGCTGACAAGAGTCACGTAGGGCAAAAAGCAGTGCCAAGTATCTTGTTATATAATCACACCTATGTGCATGGTCATGGTGACACACCTAACTCTGACTAACCCTGACCCTCTATTTCTGTGTATGTGTGCGTGGACGTGTTTAACTATACTTGTGGGGATACTTTTGACCAACTGGGGACATTTTGTTGGTCCCCACAAGGGGTTTATGCTATTTCTAGGGGATTTAGGGTTAAGGTTAGAATTAGGTTTAGGAGCTAGGGTTTGTTTTAGGGTTAGGGTTAGGAGCTAGGTTTAGGGTTAAGGTTAGGGAGAATAGGATTTTGAATGGGACTGAATTAAATGTCCCCACAAGGTTAGCTGCGCAAGACTGTGTTCATGTGTCGGTGCGTGCGTTGAAGTGTTGACAGCTTGCACATGTCCACTGCTCTTGTGTTTAGTGCTTGGAGGATCGCCAGGAGTAGTCTCCCTTATCAGATTTTTTGAACTTCCTGGATACACTAGACTACATGCACAATTTATTGCACATTAAGTAAATATAGCTACAACATTTGTGGCTACCATGCTAATGAGGTGTAGGCTATAGCTAAATATACTGCAACGGACTGCTACAACGGATTGGGACACAACAAACTCGTCTGCTCAGTTTTGGAATTTTTACCCCTGCCCGTCACCCAGTAGGAAGCCGAAAGCATAGTGTCAGTTAAATAACTGGAGAAAAAATGTGTTCAGTTGTAAACCGACTGAAACCTGCTCTGGCCTACACGCTGTGCCTCCAAACAACCCGGCACTCGCGTAAAGTTCCAGCCCACATCGGCCCGGGTGTACGCACCAGCAAGCAGCCTTTGGAATCGGTCATCATACGACCTTACTGCTCCAGGATGGAGTTGGGAAAAGGACCTTTCTTCAGGCAGGTGAGTTAGCCACTGCAATAATTGATATTTTTTTTTGCTTTGGGCCAAAGTGGGCTCCGGACTTTTTGGAAGCACAGTGAAAATAGGAATAATCTTTTTTTCAGTGCATGTAAACAAGTATTTTGCAATTGGTTAACATGAGAATTCATTAAAATGAGTATTTGTCCACAAAATTAGGGGGAACGTATTTTCCAGGCGTCCTTAGTTGTTTCATTGTTTTCAAACCAAATTGTTTGCGCAACAATGTAGCAAGCTAGCGGAGCTGTAGCAGAAGAGGGGGCGTGTTAAAACCGCCACTCGCACAGAGGGCAATGTTTACACATTTTCTGACAAAAAATCACCTAGATTTGTGATAACTCAAATCTCAACAAACTATAATAAACGAAACTAAACTAGATAACTAGGTGAAACCAAGAAAAACATCGTGTAACTTGTTACATTTTAATAACACAAGCACGCCATCTTCATGCTTGGGTGACACTTGATATTCTGGATTTCCCCAGATTGTCAATGCGATTAAAATGTGGGTCAAAAGGGACATAAAAGTATTATCTGAGTTTTTTCGGGGTCGAATGACACTGTCTACCGCTGTCTTAGCTAACTTAGCTAGCTACCGGTGTCGCCCCCGCCTGCAGTGTACCAGAGTCCAAGCTAACTACGGTAGCTAGTGCACAGTGTATTTAACTCCCGCTTGCCGAACACCTGCCCTCGCCGTCGTTAGCAGAACTGCGGGAAAACAGTGCCCGACAGGCGGGGGCGAAGTACACGGTCTACCGTTGTCCTAGCTAGCTACCGTTCCATTGTTGCCCCCGCCTCTTCTTCTGTGGGATTTTATAGACGATTGGCATCCAGCGTTATGATGCATTACTGCCACCTACTGTACTGGAGCACCTCCGCCTCTCGCCTGTGTACGGGAGTCCTAGCTTAAAAATGGACCAATAGAAGTATAAAGAGAGGTAACTGCAGATGCAGGAATGTCTCGAATTTCGGGCCGCAATTGCACCCTTCTCAAAGTATGAAAATCCACCTTGACAGTGACACTTTATCACTATAAAAGACTACACACCCATATATTATCATCCATAACTAATACACAGGCAGGATGTGTGTTATATAATAGCATACTGTACTTCCCCCTCACCTTTTATAACCTATGGTTACTAACTCACCTGTCCTTGCTTGTTCCAACCTATACAGCTGTTTGAGTCAGTGAGCAGCACCTACACCTATCTACTGGCTGATACAGAGAGCATGGAGGCGGTCCTCATTGATCCAGTACTGGAGACAGTGGACAGGGATCTGAAACTCATAGAGGAACTGGGTTTCAACCTGAAAGTGGCAGGTAACTTGGATGTCTCTAAAACATGGACACACACACAAGCATGCGCTCGCTAGCACGAGCATGTCCACCACACATAGACATGCACTGACTCACTCACTCACCCACCCACTCACACACACACACTAATCCTACATCCATTTTGGTCTACTTGTTTATTGTGTCCTTGTTTATTGTAAGATGACATACGACGCACACTGTGCCCTGTTTTTTTCCCCCATTAGTGAACACTCACTGCCATGCAGACCACATCACAGGCACGGGACTGCTGAAGAACAGGCAGTTTGGGATGAAGAGTGCCATCTCCAAGCACAGTGGGGCCAGTGCAGACATCCTGCTATCAGAGGGAGACAAGATCAGCTTTGGCAAACATGTGAGGAATGCCCATGTGGCTCGGTTGGTAGAGCATGGCGCTTGCAACGCCAGGGTTGTGGGTTGGATTCCCACGGGTGACCAGTACAAAAATGTATGCACTCACTACTGTCATTCGCTCTGGATAAGAGCGTCTGCTAAATGACAAATGTAAAAATGTAAATGTGAAGACAGACCTACCTACAGCCAAATAGCTATAGAGAATATAGTCTGGGCCGACCCCAATTCGTGGTCACCCAACATCCCTGGTCCGGGAGAGTCATAGGTTTACAGGGTTTTGTTTCAACTGAGTACGAGTGCTGGGCTGAAACAAAAGCCTACACATCATGTACTGTTGCTCTCCAGGACCAGGTTGTTGACCACTGCTCTAAATGCTGCTGCTGTATTCACCTTCTTCATCTCTCCTTTACACTCCATTTCTCTCTTTACTTCCCCTCACTTGTTTTCTGTAATCCCTCTTCCTGCCTCTCTCGTCCCTCAGTATCTGACGGTGAGGGAGACTCCAGGACACACAGACGGCTGTGTGACGTTGGTGACCGGGGACCAGAGCATGGCTTTCACTGGGGACACACTGCTAATCAGGGGCTGTGGAAGGACAGACTTCCAGCAGGGTAACGTTAACCTTTTCCACACTACTAAGCTAAACCAAGCAGAGCCAAGCCCAAATGTACTGTAATGCACTGGCCTGGTTGGGCATCCACCAGGCTGAATCCATGCTGGACAGGACAATGTGAAAATAAAGTATCTAAGCCAACACAGTACTATAGTGTGACAGGCATATTCTCTCAGATTTTTGGCCTCTGTAGTGATATATCTAGCCATGGAGATATTATCAGGTTATATCACACACTTTCATCCCTATACACTAATGTTTCCCAATTCTTTGGTCAGGACTGATTTTAAACAATGCATGAAAAGTTTGTGGATCATTGCCTCACCTACACTTGTTGCATTGTTTTTGTAGTTATGCTTAGTGGACAAAAGGTGGCACTATTGTAGCCTGATCACAAACAGTCACTGTATCGTAGCCTGGGTTATGTTCAATAGGCCATGCAACAAATGTTTTGGAACGTAAAAACGTAAATGAGTGTTTCTTATCGGACAAGTCCAGGTAGTCCCTCCTTGTTTCAGTCTGTTTGTTTGTGGTCCAATGGAAACAACCCTGATCTGTTTGTTTCTACACTAACCAGGCTGCTCTAGGAGGCTCTATGAATCAGTCCACCAGAAGATCTTCACATTACCTCCTCAGTGCCTCGTCTTTCCTGCACATGACTACAAAGGTTGCCAAGACATCCTCTTTATGCAATAATGTGTTTGTATTCCACTGTATTGTGTATATCTTTGTATATCCCCTGACCCCTTTCCTTGCAAGCTTTCCTTTTTTAGATGTATGCTCTTGGGGATAGCCTCACCAACTATTTCGTACAAGCATACCCAGAAGGCTTGTATACTCTCACAATGCTATAACTATCCTTTCTATAGACTTTACGAAGTTAACTTGTCCAGTGTACTGTACCACCACTCTTCACCATTTGTCTACTTTCATTTTAAACTCGGGGTTCTCTTCTGAGTCATTCCTAAGCCAGATCAGACTGTGTGTTCTAAAGTTGAGTGTAGTCATTGAATCATCATTGTGTTGTATTGCTAACAGGTCTGTTAACCTTGTGCTGCAGGTCAGACAGCCTCCACAGTGGGTGAGGAGAGGAGGTTTAACCCCCGCCTAACCAAGAGCTTGGAGGAGTTTGTGGACATCATGACCAACCTGAACCTCCCCAATCCTGCTAAGATAGGTATCTCAGACAGTCCACCCTCTGCAGCGATTCTATTACAATAGAAACTGTTGTTGTGTATGATATAATACTATTCTATTACAATAGGGCCTATTATTATCTAGATGATATGTAACTATTCTATTACAATAAAGTTATTATCAGTGGTCTTTCATCTCACTTAAACCTTATCACGGGAATGAGCATGACAAAGCTGTCCGTGATGAGATTGCAATATGTTACACATACTGTACTCTTTCTAACTGTCCTTTGCGCATCGATTTGATTACTTGTTAGCGTAAGCTGTTCTTAACTCACTGATAGAAACAAGGTGTTGATTTGTTATTTCTCTCTCTGCCAGATATTGCCGTGCCTGCAAACCTGGTGTGTGGACTCCATGAGGTTTGAATGTCAAATCAATTTTAGGATTTCACTTTAAGCACTATTGGGAGGAAGAGGGAAATTATTTTCACCCAGCCACAACTTAATGTTTTGAATGCAATATTTTGTATCTAATAAGTAACCAAAACTAAAGCTTGTCAAAAATTAAGAACATACATTTCTCCATGTTTGCCTATGTAAAAAGCAGTGGTCATGATTTGGTGGGTGTACAGATACTGAAATTGTATAGTAAAAGATGCATTAAGATACATGATCATAAAACATTGCCATGTACATTGTAACATTTATAATACAATCTCCTGGAAAAATTTGAACATTAATAAGATGACCTAGTTTTATATTAAATCAAGATTGTTCAAATGTAAATGTCTGAATTAACTCTTTCTTTGACTACACCTGTATAAATTGCAGAGTTGCAGTGTAACTCATGGAAAGTGCTGTGATAGAAGGTTCCATTCATGGTTTAGTATTCATGAATGCTGGACTGACACAATTGAGCTCTTCCACATGGCCTTTCCAGCATCCCCTAGCCAAGGCAACACACACACACACACACACACACACACACACACACACACACACACACACACACACACACACACACACACATACTGTACACACACACAGTACTCTGACTGTTGCCAGCCAGGGCCTTTTTGCATACCAGGAAAACCTAACTCCTCTATTTGCATTTGAAATCCCTGTGGGCCAAGTTTCCATTGCGAGAGTCCAAAACTCATCATGGCTGTGCCTTTGTGTGCTTGTTTCTCTGTCTTCTATCTACCGCTTTATTTATCCGGAATCATCCTGTTATTCTCTCACCCTCTTTATTTAGTACCATATTGTAATGTCCTGAAAACATCAACATAATCGGCTTAGCCTTAGGATTCCTCTTAGATGTGTAGCTAGCATAGTAGCCTACTACATTTGTTTTTGTCCCACAGCCCATTGACTCTAGTCTCTACCTGGTAGACAGGTTTGGGGAGATAGGAGTGTCTGGCTCTGACTCAACCATGTCTCTTTCTCTCTGAAACTGCCTGATCATTTCATAATAATGGTGTACTGTGAGCTCATACTTCTCAGATACATCTCAAAGGTACTGTACCCTTCCTTCTGTATCTAAATATTTGAGTATAGTTACCTGAGCAGGTCATGCCTTTGATGCTGTGACAAAAGTGACAGCTTGGTTTTGACTGCATTGAAAGACACCCGACACACCATGTGTGAAATGACTGAACTTTTAGGTTTCTACTGTAACCTTCGGATGGAAATCGAGAAGATGCATTCAAAGTGAAAGAAGAAAGAAATAGAAGTCTGAAGAAAAGATTGCATTGTGTTCTTGTCACATACGAGTTCACACCACTTCATCTGCCAGCTGTCCCTGTCACCAGTAGAGACAAACAGAACATCCACATTAGGCAACTCTTCTCTCACCTACTTACTGACAGACACACCTGCATTCATTGTTTTGAAATGCACAGGGTGTAACCAGTGTTGCCATCACGCCTAAGGTATGTTTTAATTGTTTTATTTAAAACATATTTGTATTTTTAAAGCAAAAACATAGATAGACAAAAACAATAGGCAACTTAACATGTTGTTGTGGCACAGTGTTTTGCCTGTGAAAAAAGGCCCCATTCTTTGACATTGTTGTGCTTTTTTACAAGTCACCAGCTGTTCTTTCACCCAGTCTGTACCCTGCCCCTTCCATCTGCTCTCTCTTTCACCCCTTTCACTCTTTCTTTGCCCACTCACGCTCTGCTACCCACCCTGACTCCATGCATTCTCGCTCACCCTGTCCACATGCCCTTGTTTAGGGGAGACTGAGGGAATAATCTATGATTACGATATCAGCTCATTGAGACAGAACTGTTAAGGGGGCAGGGGCCGATAAAGACCATTGGATATAGTAAAGAGAGTGGAGAGATTTACGTGGCAGCTAATGACGCTTTCCAAGGGCCCTTGGCATTGACAGCGACACAAGACCCGCGAGGTGTGTTGGCAGGGTGCCAAGCCAAACTGCTTTTGCGTTAGCCTATAGCGAGCTAATAACGAGGGCATTACAATGACAAAGCCATGTCGTCGTGGGAAATCCCAGAATAGAGTTCTCATTTCGGTGCGGAGCCCCCTCAGAAATAGACCACAGAAACTGTATAGTCAGTTAGTGACGCGCTCTCGAGTTCACACAGTTGCGTTTTCACACGAACTTTGTGTCGGTCAGTGTGCCCGCCTCTAACATGCATTCCATTTCACCTGTTGACGCCGACAGCACACTGCGATCTGTCATTTTCACTGGGAGTTATTTGAAAGGATTGAATCAAACCAGAGACAAGAGAGAGAGGAGAATATAGACATCAAAGCTCTTCAGACGGGATACGACAGCAAACAGAAACTCTGAAAGTTCTCTGGATATAGTTCGTATGATTGAAAGCGAAAGCGTGCGCCGGTCCAAACCCATCACTTCTTTATTTAGTCACTCTGTTTTTATGAGCGTCTATTTTCTTCAAATTCAGGAACAACACTACACATTTCCCCCCCAACAAGAACGCTTTTGAAGAGAGGACGGCATATTCTCAGGTAAGGCATGAGTTCTTTGTTTCTGTTCTGTGTCGCTGTCGTTTGATACATTGTATCTGGTGAATGATCGCGATTTGATAATAAGACTAGGATTATTTTTATTACACAGTAGCTACCTACAGTGTCTACTTAAAGTGGTCGTCTGTTTATTAATGGTCTTCATTGGTGTCATGGGAAGGGATGATGTCGAATTGAACTTGACCGAGCATGTAAATAAATGGAACACAATCTCTATTATTATATTTACAGAATGCCAGTAGACTACTGTAGCCTACTTTCTAAACTATTTATATAAATAAACTATAGGTCTATGCCATTCATAAAAATGGACTATATTAAATAATACATCTATCATTAGGCTATTAGTTCACACTAAGCCAAAGAGCCTACTTAACAAACGATTCATGCAAATTGTGTACATGCCATAACTTAAATAACAACTTTTTGGGGGGGTTTAGTAGTTTTTAAATGTCGGAATGCTTTGTTGTATGATGATGAACATCCAGATACTCAAGATTCTATGACTACATGCTCAACATTATATTTGATTACCCAATATTTGGGACTTTTTGCTTGAGTGCATAAGTAGCTAGATGGGCTAAAATTGTCCTCAGGCCTGTAGCTTTTCAATGTGTAATTTTCACATTGAAACAATGAGGACCATATCTGGTTCTAATCCAAATATGTTATTTCTTAATGTCCCAAACCTCCTGTCCCAGGGCAGTGTTCTCCTCAGTTTATGTAAACTCACATTTGTTTACCAGACTCTTCTGATATCTGTTGTTTATCACTTCCATCAGCACATAGTGTAAACAAAGGAGAGGGGGAGTATAGGATGATGCTGATGGAGGTGGAGAGAAAAGATTGCATGGGAAGGGTAGCCGTCAGGGGAGTCCAGAGCACATATCTCTCTCCTGTGTTCAATCTCTCCTTCTTTCTTTTTCTCTCACGCCCCTTTTTTTGGCTGCACTTGTACAGCTCTATATCTGAGACCTAGCCTGTCATTAATGGGTCGTGATTTCGCTGACCTCAGAACGGAGAGATTTGCTCAGCCCACTGGAATCTCTGCTAATGTTGTTCAACTAGCAAATATTCAAAGTCTGTGTAATTAGTGGTGTCTTCGGACCATTCCAGTCAGTTTTGCAGTGTTGTAATATGCACAAGTTACGTTTGCGTGAATTATTCTATTAATGCAGTGGTATCATAGTGTGATAATCTACTTTATTGGAGAAACAATTAGGCTTATAGGGTAACTTACTTGGTAATTAACTTACAGGAAATACAACTAATCATCTTCCCTAACAATCAATGATCGTAGCTTGTATTTTAATCTTCAACCTTTTGGTCCCCTAAAAACAACAACAAATGTATTCCCCAACAGTAACTAGTTGGCTCAGCTACAGTATCATTCTAGGAGTCTAACAATAGGCCTATCCTCCCTCACACCTAGATGACAGTCAGTCATGATATCTCACCTCTCATCTGACAGACAGACGCCACACAGAGCTGTCCAGCCTTGGTTGTATTCATTAGTTACCAAATGGAAAAAAACTGACTGAAATGGGGAGGACTTATCCAATAAGAAACGCTCATGTTTGTTTTTAAAACGTGTTTGGGTGCCTTAATGAATACGACCCTGGTTCCTCTCACATGCTCTTCCTGCTCAGGCCCCAGTGTGGTGATGACAGTTTCCTCTCTCAGCCCGTAGCCCTCCATAGGCTATGGTGGTATACAGGGGGACTATCTCAGTGGGCTCTGTCATAGCTCTGAGGTCATACAGCTGAGGCTGGTCACCAGGCATTCCTGGGAACCTGATGTGTCAGGACACAGTGTGGTGATGACAGCTTCCTGATAGCCCTCCATATACCACCATAGCCTTGCTATGTGGGCTCTGAGGTCACACAGCTGATACTGGTATGGTCACTACCCACTGGGCATACACTGGTTGAATCAACGTTGTTTCCACATTTAATTGAAATTACGTTCAACCAACGTGGAATAGATGTTGAATTGATGTCTGTGCCCAGTGGGTAGGGTCCAAAAGGGCACCATATTCCCTATATGATACACTACTTTTGACCAGGTCAAAGGTGACCATAGGGAATAGGATGTCATTTCTGACATGCCTATTATATAGTGCACTACTTTTGACCTGGGCCATGGTCGAAAGTAGTACACAATATAGGAAATAGGGTGCCATTTTGGACACAGCCTGGGTATTCCGGGGTACCTGATCTGTCAGATGTCACAATGTGCTTGTGGCTAACAGGTCAGGTGGGAGTTGGATAGTTCAGTTGTAATCCTCTGGAGAGTACTAGAGAGCTGAGCGATACAGTAACTGTATTCTATGGAAATGTCCTTTATTGTTACAGTTGACCGCTATTGACATTGTGTGCAAGCCCATTGTGAGGCTGGCAGACGGGACAGACTAGTGGGTTTGAATGGAGCACAAACTCATCCTAATCAGGATGTTGATTACATACTTCTCCCTCAATATGCAGAATGGCATACATGGATGACAGTAAGTTTCCTTTTTTAAGTCTTCAGGACTCAACGAAGAGAAACACTTTAGCTAGTTGAACTGCTAGTGGGTTATGTATGTGACATTGTAACACCTGATGCCTTTTCTGAGGATAGTGCAGCAAAGGGCTCACCAATGCAGAAAAGACAGGTGTTTTTATGTTTCTCAGGTGAGAGCAGCTCTTGCTCAATATCAGCCAGACAAAGGTTAAAGGTACAGTCCATACATTTTATTTTCATCCCAAAATGCTCTGGAGGACTGAGGGGGGATGTGTTTGCTAGTGTACC